CACTCCAGCCTGGGCAACAAGAGCAAAACTCTGTCTCAAAAAAGAAAAAAAAATGTCAAATAAATAAAATGTATGCAAATGAAAAAGCCAAGGAAAACAAAAATCATAATGGAATTGGCTATTTATATAAAAATGCTATTTCAAAATAATTTCTTCAGGAAACAACACTAAGTGATGAGTTAACAGCAAAATGAGTGCACTATAAACCACTGTAACAGTCAATAACAATATGAGCAAAAAGCTCTTCCTACCCGTAGAACAGTAGAGTGAGAACTGTACAATATCCAAAGTCAAATACCAGAACCATTTACATGCAATATAAGATCACACACAGTTTCAGGATCTGCTTTTCAAAGACAAGGCTCTCAGAGAAGAATAAGAACTAGGCTGTGGCCAGGCGCAGTGGCTCACGCCTGTAATCCTAGTACTTTGGGAGGCCAAGGCGGGCAGATCACCTGTGGTTAGGAGTTCAAGACTAGCCTGACTAACATGGAGAAACTCCATCTCTACTAAAAAATACAAAATTAGCCGGGCATGGTGGTGCATGCCCGTAATCCCAGCTACTCAGGAGGCTGAGGCAGGAGAATCGCTTGAACCCAGTAGGCGGAGGTTGCGGTGAGCCAAGATGGAGCTATTGCACTCCAGCCTGGGCAACAAGAATAAAACTCTGACTCAAAAAAAAAAAAAGAACTAGGCTGTTAAAGTGCAGTGAATTCCAGTTAAACGTTGTCACCACAATCAAGTAAAAGGCACCGTGGTTTCCATTTTGACAGTCTGGGTTCAGCTGCTCCTCCACTGCCTACTAAGCTCAGATGTAATTTTTAGCTTTAAAGAAAGTAGAAAAGGAGAAGGTGGAGGGAGACTGTGGCAGGCAAAACAATTTAAACTGCAAATCTGGTACTGGCAAAACCTTAGGATAAATGAACTCAAGCCAGGCCTGGCAGGGCAGCTCACGCCTAAAATCCCAGCACTTTGGGAGGCCGAGGCAGGCAGAATGCTTGAGCTCAGGCATTCGAGACCAGCCTGGGCAACATAGTGAAACCCTGTCTCTACCAAAACTACAAAAAATTAGCCAGGTGTGGTGGTGCGCGCCTGTGGTCCCAGCTACCCTGGGAGCTGAAGTGCGAAGTTCTCTTGAGCCTGGGAGGTGGAGGTTGCCGTCAGCCGTGATCGTGCCACTGCACTCCAACCTGGATGACAGAGTAAGACCCCCATCTCAAAAAAATAAAAATTAAAAATAAAATTAACAATATACTGCTTATTCTCAAGTAGTTAACTATGGACACCAAAAGGGTCAATAACAGCTCTTAGCTGGCCTTGGTTTAAAATACATACCTAGGCTAGATGCAGCGGTTCGGGCCTGCAAACCCAGCATTTTGGGAGGCCAAGGCAGAAGGATTGCTTGAGCCCAGGAGTTCAAGACCAGCCTGGATAACACAGTGAGATCCTGTCTCTACAAAAAAAAAAAGTTAAAAATTAACTGGGCATGGGGGTGCATGTCTGTGGTCTCAGCTACTTGGGAGGCTAGGATGGGAGCATCACTTGAGCCCAGGAGGTTGAAGCTGCAGTGAGCCAAGATTACGACACTGCACTCCAGCCTGGTTAACAAAGGAAAACCTTGTCTAAGAAAAATAAAATAAAATACACACCTGAAAATGGGTACATTCCTTGAAAACCTCAGCAGGAGCATTATTTCCCTTTGTTGATACAGTCAATTTTTACAACTTTTTCAAGAAAGGAGGAGAGGGAAAGAGAATTGTACTGAGAACATGTGTTTATGTGTGGTCAATGCCTAATGGCGCGTTTTTTAAAAAGAGGTACTTATCCATATAGAACTATGATAACATAAGTGCAATAGTGTATACCTTTGTAGGGCACAATAAATAAATGTGTAAATCAATTGGTATTAAAAAGTAAAGAGTGTTTCCATGTATTAGCAGACCATAATTTAAACCACTAAAATGGCCCCCACATTCAAAACAGAAATTAAAGGTCCATTATTTTGATACATATAATAAAATGAAATATCCAAGCAAAGTGCCTACTTTATTACAAACACAATGAAAGTAGATTTAATTAACATTTTCTCAGAATGGCTTAGGATAAAGGATTCCCATTAGGGTAATTTAATTGTCTAGTAAACTTGTAATTATCACATATCAAATATCACTCAAGGAACACTTTTTCTTTCTTTTTTTTCCAGGGAACACTTTTTGTGTTCTTGCTTTGTTTTGTTTTTTTGGGACAGAATTTCACTCTTGTTGCCCAGGCTGGAGTGCATTGGTGTGATCCTGGCTCACCACAACCTCCACCTCCCAGGTTCAAGCGATTCTCCTGCCTCAGCCTCCCGAGTAGCTCAGATTACAGGTATGTGCCGCCACACCCAGCTAATTTTGTATTTTTAGTAGAGATGAGGTTTCTCCAAGTTGGTCAGGCTGGTCTCAAACTCCCAATCCGCCCACCTCGGCCTCCCAAAGTGCTGGGATTACAGGTGTGAGCCACTGCACCCAGCCCGAGGAACACTTTTCTAGAACTAAAATGCAATTTTCAAAGACCTAAAGTCAAAACCAGACTAATAGTAGTATCAGCAAACACTTACATGGCACTTTCCATATGCCTGGCATTTTTCTAAGCTCTTTACACATATTAACTCATTTTATCCTCACAAGTCTTCCAAGTATTCTTATTATTTCCATTTTACAAATGAGGAAACAGGTGTAGAGGGGTCAAGTACCTTGCCAGGGCTCACTGTGCTGCTAGTAAGTGACAAAGCTAAGATTTAAACCCTACCAGTCTGGTTACAGAGTCTCTAGGTTTAATCGCTAGGCTTCACTATCTCTTGGTGATGTGATATTGAGGAATATACTACAAAAAATATAGGCAAACTTGTTTGTTTTTTTAGATGGAATCTCACTCTTGCCCAGGCAGTGCAGTGGTGTGACCTCAGCTCACTGCAACCTCCACTTCCCAGGCTGGAGCGATTCTCCTGCCTCAGCCTCCCAAGCAGCTGGGACTATGGGCATGTGCCACCAAGACCAGCTAATTTTTGAATTTTTAGAGACAGGGTTTCACCATGTTGGCCAGGCTGGTCTCAAACTCCTCACCTCAAGTGATCCACCCACCTGGGCCTCCCAAAGTGCTGAGATTACAGGCTTGAGCGACCACGCCCAGCTGTCAAACTTAAAATGTAAAGCAGTTTGGGGGCCAAGCTCTGAGAAGATCACCATGTTTACAACACAGGACAATATATTATGTTCAGGACTACATAAGGGGAGGTCAAAAATCTACTCAGGATTCTGAGTGTTTAAGATGACAAGAAATTGTATAGTACATTTATTAAATTTCCACCTCAAAGAGTCAATATACTTTTCATTTCTAAAGAAGCTCTCAACTGTAAAATTACCCATTCCCTGAGGGCTCCAAACAGCAGGGTTTCACTGCACAATCTTGTTTGCCATTTATCTCATTCTTAAAGATAAGGATGGGGTGTGTGTGTGTGTGTGTGTGTGTGTGTGCAGAAAGGATCACAAATTAAGCTTTCCAGGTGTTCTGTTTTAACTCCAGGAATATGGGAACTTAATACAGTATTAAAGATATTAAAAAGTGTCAAATCATTTGCGTAGGTGAACAAACTCATATTGTGTGTAACTATTGTAAAAACTCTAAAATTTGATCATTAGCAGAGTTCTTTAAAAAACAAGGAAAGTGCAGGCTTTAAAGTCTCATTGGCAGACCTAAATTTAAATCTTGGTTTTGCCATTTAGTTAAGTGTGAATTTTTAGCAAGTCAATTTCACATAACCGAACCTCAATTTCCTACTCTGTAAGTTGGGAGTAATAATTCCTAACTCAAAAGGTGGTTGCATGAAGTAAAGAGAAAACATACGCAAAGTGTTGAACATAGTCCCTGGTATAAAGCAGATGAGCCAACAATAAGCAACTATTATACCCTAACCTTATTCTACTTTGTCCCTCAAATATTGGAAGGAATCTAATCTTCCCAATTAGCAAGTCATTGGTAGGTTTACCAGAATTATACGTACAATATACACTATTCGAAATGGAACACACTGAAAGTATTTAAAAAATACAAAACCAACCATCAATGAGATCAAGGATTTCAGAATTCTGCTTCTCATCCCATATACCCGGCATCTATTCTGTCAGGTTTTGTAATAACCCATATTATTTCTTTATCAACCACATGAACCTTATTGGTTTGTTTGTTTGTTTTTTTGCGATCTAAACATCCCTAGCGGGTTATGTTACTTATTTTGAGAGCTACCTTTGCAAGAGTAATTGTCATCACTGCTCGAAAACCAAAAGGAAATGCAGGTACAAGGGGCATTTTATGCAACGCTATTAACTGTTGCATGCATCTCAACAGTGGATTGGATCCCAAGCGGATCTTTTATTATCACAATAGGTAATCACATTACTGTGCCACCCCTTCCCCGCCCATGCATGCGTTAATGAGCAAAACTCCAGACTAACAGAGTATGAATGTTCTATAGGGACACCAAAACTCAAAACTGGGTGCTCTCAGTAAAGCTCCTCCAGGGGAAGGAGACGTGCATGGGATTCACTGCAAGTGGAAACGAATCGAATCGGAAACTGTTTTGCCTATTTACGACTGGAAATGAGCCCTGTGGGGCTAGAAGCCGAGACCGGCAGGTGGCCGAGGGCCTGGAGGGAAGAGACGAACGAGGAGGCACCGAGAGGCTGAGAAAGGTCTGTGCCGCCGGGGAAAACACAGCCAGGGCCCATGACCCCTCTACAGCTGAGGTGCTGAGATGTGACCGCTCCGCCCAGTCCCCAGAACGTGTTTCAGCCCCAGGAATCCGAGAGGACTCAGGAGGGGATGGGAGTCCTCGCTGTCGGGCAAAAGTGAGGGTAAGGGAGGGTTCCCCGTCGCCTTCAGAACGGAATGGTGCTGTCCCCGCCGCCATCCCGACGCCGGAGGTGAGGACGGCAGGGACCAACAGGGAGCGAACAGGTTACCTGTCTCAGCCGCCTCCCACCGGTCTCCACTTCCGCAGACTCGGGGTTACTACGGGCTACCCCGGCACGCGCCGAGTGACGTCATCCACGCGCGCCCGGGGCGGCAGTCCGCCTGGCCCGTCTGGGCCCGCCTTCCGCTGAGCCCGCCCCCTTGGGATGATAGAGCGGGACCGGCCGAGGGAGGTCTGCGCAGGCGCGGCCTAGGAGGGCAGGAGCAGCTTGGCTTGCTAGGGCTTGTAGGGTTGCCCAGGTACCCTATTATTCCTAATTACAAAATCTTTATGACACTTAAAAAAAAATCATCAATCTGGGAAACATGTGGAGGCTCCATCTCTACAGAGAAATTTAAAAATTAGGCGGGTGTGGTGGCGTGCACCTGTGGTCCCTGCTACTTGGGAGGCTGAGGCAGGAGGATTGCTTAGGCCCACGAGGTCGAGGCTGCAGTGAGCTATGAACGTGCCACTGCACTCCAGCCTGGCCACAGGGCGGGACTCTGTTTCTGATAAAAGAACATTTTAAAAGTTACTGAAATACGGATGTGCAATTTTTTTTCCTTAGCCTACTCTCACCTCTGCTGCATGTGACTTTTGCTCATATATTCATTCCACCACAATTTAAGGTCCTCCTGTGTGCCAGGCAAGCACCGTTAACAGACGCTGGGGAAACAACCGGGAACAAGACGGACATTACTTTCTACTTGAGCCAGGAAACATTAAATGTAGAAAGAAAATAGTAAGTTGCTGAGAAATTAAAGGAAGACAGGTGATCTTTTGATTGGAGATGGCAAGAAAGTGCCCTCTGAAGAGGCTCAGTAAACTGAGAAGAAGCCAGCTCTGTGGAGATCTAAGGAAAGAACAGCCAAGAGAAGGATCTACATGTAAGCAAGCAATGGGGAAGATGCAGAATGTGGTGCCCTGGAGAAAGTGGGAAAATGGGCCAGGGGAAAAACAGAGGATGAGATCAAGGCAAGGAGAGTCCCCATCATGCACAGACTTTCTGTCCCTGTGAGGAATACAAGTGTATGGGAAACTAGTGAAGAGTTTTCAACAGGTGAGTAACAGGATCTGGTTTTATAAGATCACCCCGCTGGCTGCTGTGTATACATGGAACTTTTGAGAATCAATTTAAAAGGATGCAAAGACAAGAGTTGCTTTTGCAATAAGCAGGTAACAAATGATAGAAATGGACAAATTTCAGGAATAATTCTGAGGCAGATGTGACAGACTTGGAGATGACTTGAGATAAGGGAGATAAGGAAAAGAAAAGTGTCAAAAACAACTCCTCAATTTGGGGCCTAAGCAAATAGCTGGTTAATATAGCTAAAACAAGGTTTTTTTCTCCTCCTTTCAAACCCGATTCCTTTGCTTCTTTGTTGCCAATTTGGTCCTCTAGGTTCCTCTCTCACCTCTCTCTCTCTCCTTAGTTTCCATCCCTGGCTTCCACTTTCCCTCTTCCTGAGCTTTTTATTCCCTTGGCTTTCTCATGCTACATCAGAGGCTGCAAACTCCAAAGCCTACATGAGCAGGGCAGTTAACACAGAGGAGTGAGGCCAGGGGTACAGACTGTGGTGCCCTGGAGCTCGTGGTCCCTGCACAGCTCTGTCGATTTTTGCCAACCAGGAATGCTGACCCACGATGTCAGATCCTCTCTTTAAAAGACAAATCGATATGCATCTCCCAAGTTTTAAATGTTGCTCACTAATTCACATTTTATTAAACATTTGTTTTGGACCAAACAAAACACATCTGCTGTCCATATGAGGTCTGCAGGCCTGCACCAACTTTGCCTCCTTGGTGTGTATTTTCCCAGGGTTGTGACTTTGTCTCTTGTCACGTGACTACCACCTGTAAGTTTGTAAGCTGACAACTCCCAAGTCTCTTTCCATTCAAACCTTTTTAAAAATGTCTTATTCAGGCCGGGTACAATGGCTCACGCCTGTAATCCTAACACTTTGGGAGGCCAAGGCAGGCAGATCACCTGAGGTCAGGAGTTGGAGACCAGCCTGGCCAACATGGTAAAACTCCATCTCTACTAAAAATACAAAAATTAGCTGAGCATGGTGGCAGGCATCTGTAATCCCAGGTACTCAGGAGGCTGAGGCAGGAGAAGCATTTGAATCCAGGAGGCGGAGGTTGCAGGGAGCCGAGGTTGCACCACAGAATTCCAGGCTGCGCGACAGGCCAAGACTCTGTCTCAAAAAAAACAAAAATTCTTATTCAACTATCCAGATTCCACTTAAACATCAAGCTAGCATTTTAAAACCTGAACTCATCCTCTATCCCCATCCCCAAACCTGACCTACTCGTGTATTTTTTCTGAGCTAATTGCATCAATATCTACCCAGTCCCCCAAGCCTGAAATCCAGGATGATCCCAGACTTGTCCCTCTTCGCCATCCCACAGTCCAGTCAGTATTTATCACATCCGCTCATCACCTCCATCCTTAATAACTCTTGCACTTGCTCAAGGCTTCATCATCTTTCTTGGGGAACCTCGGTTTTCTCACTTATAAAATGAGAAGATTGAACTAGGTGATTCCTAAGACATCTGTCTTTGTAGCCACCAAACATGTCAGAATAGTTGCCTGGAATTGGGGGTTTTATCTCATTGGGTTTTTTCTTGTTATTTTGCCTGGCTATTGTAACGCCAAGATAATTGTGACCAGCTTGACAGGGAAAGCGATTTGATAGAAATAAATACAAAATGAAATTAACAATGGCCAAAACATTGAAAACTGGAAAAATTGAGAAAAACAGATATGGTAAAATTTGTCACTTAAAAATATCCATCAAATCTTTTTGACAAGATTTAGATCTACAAAGTTTGAGCAGAAAAGCAATTGGTCTTGGTTAATTAACCACAAAAAAGAAAGCTCATAATGTCAGAAACTCTAATGACTATAATTTGTCATGAAGACAAAATGTAATGCTCAATTGTAACTTCAATGGGAAGAACTGGAACTGATTCCAGTCAAAATAATTTTAGTAAAGTAGAAAAATGAGAAACAGTTATATAAATGTTATATAAGTTTGTATGTAATCTATAATTTAAAACAAAATACAAAAATCAACTTTTTATAAATTTTCAAAATGAAATTTGCTGTAAGACATACTTTTATTGATGCAAATCATTGATGCAAATATAATTTTGATTTAAATGCTTGTGTTTCTATATACAAAATCAACACCTCACAGAGTCAAAGTGACATGCGTCAACATCTTGTATTCATTTGGTTACCGCTGAGAATACTTAGTATTCCACTTGCAAAATTGATATTTATGAGTATTCATGTCACAAGCAGAGATACATCCCAAAGGTCTGGGCTCAGGGGTACGTACTCCCTAGTGGATATGATTTTCATTAATGGGATATGATTTTCATTAATGACTTTTTTTCCCTTTGATGCTGTCAACTCCATGAAATCTGCTCATAGCCTCACTGAGATTTAGTGCATTGGGTTAAAGTACAAAAGAATTTCTGACAAAATTAGCCCAGATGAACTAAGTTCAACAGAGGAGAGGATGGCAGAGATTGCTGACTGGGCCTCAGTATCCAGGTGTCGTTGTTGTTGTTTCATAATACTACAACCCTCACGTTTTAGGTAATATAATATCTTTATTTTCACTGGGTACATGGCTACCCAGAAGAAAGACTTTTTGCAACCTCTCTTGCAGCTAGCTGAGGCCCTATGACTATGCACTGGGAAACAGCTGTAAGAGAAAGTATTATGTAGCGAGGTGTGACAACCATTCTTACCAAACAGATACAACAAAAGTTTGTCTTCTTTTTTTCCATCTTCCTTCCTTTTGATTGAAATGCAGATGTGTTGGCTTGTCTAAGAAGCCATTTTAGATCATAAATTCAACCCCCAGAGCAGTAAAGGAAAGCAGCAAGACAGAAGGGGTTAGGTCCCTGAGGACTTTGTGGACAGAGCCACCACACAAGCTCCACTTTAACCAGGAGAAATAAGCTGCTCTTTCATATAAGTCACTTTATCTGGGGTCTGTTTCTTTCGCCAAATCTAATTCTAACTGAAGAACTAGGAGTCAAAAGAAAAATACACAGTAAAAGCATTTGCAAATTTCACCCAGACCGAAACTGTCTTTGCAAAGATTATGACCGTGGGAAAAAATCTAGCACGGTTGACTCCATCTTGCTTCCAGCCTCACAGGCTGGCTGTCCTCGCTCACTCCTGGGTGTAGGCCAAGCTAACCAGGAGAGGAATTTATAGTTTAGCTTTGAAGCAAGGATGATAATGGTCCCTCCCTCAAAGTCCTCTTTGTTCAGGGACTGAAACTGCCTTTGTATGAATAATGAAAGGCCACTAGGTTACGATTGTGGAAGGGGCCTTAATCTGCTAGGACGTAGGTGTAATTAAACGATAACCAGCCATTGTTCCCTAGCTTGCTTTCTGGTCTAATACCTTACTGGTCAGGAGTCATAAAGATGGAGGTCACAAGATTTGGGATCTCCCCAATTGCTCCTGTAGATAGCATCATTATTGTAGAACCTAACATTGGCCTTTTGAGATGTTTTTCAGACTTTTGCATTCTGGGACCAACTGACTGCACCTGGACCCATGACCCATGACTCAGCCAGTCCTGTGGCCCCACCCAGAAGGTGACTCAGCACACGAGGACTGTTTTCCACACCCCTATGATTACATCCCCAACCAATCAGCAGCACCCATTTCCTAGCCCCTTGCCCACCAAATTATCCATAAAAACCCTAGCCTTGGCCAGGCACAGTGGCTTATGACTGTAATTCCAGCACTTTGGGAGGTTGAGGTAGGCAGATCACCCTGAGGTCAGGAGTTCAAGACCAGTCTAGACAACATGGTGAAACCCCGTCTCTACTAAAAATACAAAAAATTAGCTGGATGTGATGTTGCACACCTGTACTTCCAGCTACTCAGGCGGCTGAGGCAGGAGAACTGTTTGAACCCGGGAGGCAGAGGTTGCAATGAGCTGAGATCATGCTATTGCACTATAGCAAGGGTGACAAGAGTAAAACTCTGAAAAAAAAAAAAAAAAAAACCCTCTAGGTTCTTGGGAAGACAGATTTGAAAATTAACTCATCCTTCCACTTGGCCAGCCCTTCAACCACTATAACTCTTTATTTTCTGCAAAAACCTGTTCTCAGTGCATTGACTTT